CTAAAATGTTGACAAGTATCACACAAATCAGTCCTTGGACTCATAATTTGAATCTCTGGTGTCAATTGATGTCATAACTTTCTGAATGCATCATATTTTAAGAATTTCAATTTGCTATCTTCTTCTAGACCAACCAGAAAATCCCTATGGACTGATTTATAACTCATTTCAGCTGGTAAGAATACAATTGATTGAGTTATTCTATTGATATTTCTTCCTGGACTTGGTAATCCATGAACTTCAGCATAATTTTCCAAAAAATTCTTTACTACTTCTGCAATGTTTTTATCAATCACCATCTTAGTTTTTCATCAAGGCATCCTTTTAATATTACCATGAATTCTTGGCAGAAGACCATTGTTTATCAGATGATTTCTAATATTTTCAAAATAGGTTCTGCTGATTCCTAGCATGTTGAAATAAGTTTCTTGACAAAGTAATGTATTATGATCTCAATGATAGAAAGTTATTTTATTGGATCTAGTTTTTTTTTTAAGGCATCTACTGGTGTTTACTGTCCCTCCATCCATTGCTTTAATCTGTGCCATCAAAAATATGTCTTGTTCTGGTTTAGTGAGAGCTTGAAAGGATTCTCTTAATTCTGCAAATTGTTCCTTAGGAATTCTGAAAGAGCAACCACAACTACAGCCTTTTTCTAAAAAATCAATTGCTTTTTGATATTCATTAGAACCATTATACTTATTATTACTTTTCATATACACCTATCCCTATATATATATAATTTTATAATATTATGTTCACTTTGTAGGTTTTCATTTATTTTAAAATTGAAATTGGTCCTGTGGTGATGAGCAAAGTGGGCAGAAAAGAATTAAATTTGAGTGGATCTGCAAATAAATATCAGAAATATTTTCAAGTATATATTCAATGATTGATATGTTAGATTTAAATTATTTATTATTACTAAAAATGGATAAGATAAATTATCTTGAGACCTGAGATTTATTGATCAACTAAAACAGATAAACAAATAAATAAAAGATAATTATTGTTATTTCTAAAAAAACAATTGAAGAAAATTGTTGATTATACTAAAACATTAAAACTGATTTTTTAATCTTAGAATTAATGCACAATGTAATCTTCTGAGATTTTTGCTGAATGTATCATTTGATCTAATAGAAATGTACTAAAAAAAAAATAAACAAATGTTTGAATTTTTTTTTTTTTTTTTTTAATCAAAAAAGAAATTTTAAAATATATAGATATGATAGATTTTGGACTGAGGTTGATGTATCAAAAAAAATATTAAAATTATTATTATAAATAAAAAACCCATTTAATAACATTAATTCAACTAAACTTTTTTTAAAAAAGCTATCTAAACTGACTATCACTTGTGTGATTGATTCAATCATTAACACTAAGAAACAAACAATTTCAGAATTATTGAAATTAATGCCATTACAAAGGTGAAATAAAATAATAATTTTTTAAATATAATTAATTATATATCTTTAATAAAACAAAACAAACATGACTTAGCTGTTTAATCATTTCCCTATATGTGAATGCCTCCATCCATCAAATATTTATGATGGTCATGATTATTATTCAATATTGAGATAACAAACAATTACATCACCCAAGCAGTAATAATACCAAGGCCATGCAAAAATGAAACTTTTAATAATGTGTGTCTACCCAGATCTCTGGGGTTCACAAAATAAATTATTTTTCCTGATTATCAATTATGGTTCCTTATGAATAATAAATCTGATGTTGATCACAGGTGTCAGATTTAATAAAATTTCCTATCGCAAATATGTGGTTACGTGCTTTCACACGCCCCATAACTGTGGAATTTTTTTCCATAGGTGAGGCCCCTCACATACTAGAAGGCTTTTGTAAAAGTTTTCTTATCTTCCCCTCAGACCAGGCCTGGCTGTTATACCAAATGGACGATGAGAGTTGATTCTGATGTGATGATTGCCTTGTGTTATCCAACTGAAGAACAAAGTCAGTGTCTGCAACTGATTCAAAATTCAGCAACTTGGGAGATTGCTGTTTTGTTGGTGCACATCTATTCACAAAAAAAAACATCCCATTTAAAAAATATTAATCAAATAAAAAATTACCAAGAAAACAGAAATTCAGAAGAATTATTAATTTGTATAGAACATACCAAAACAACCCATTTTATGATTTTTCTTGTTAGCCTTTTCCAAAAATTCCCACTTTGGTTCCAGAGATCAATGTTGCCATTTGGCTGACAAAGATATATATAACCATATGACAATTTTAAATCTCATGTCTCCTGCCCAAAATTATAAATTTGGTTAGTGCCAAAGAAAAAGAGAATAATTAATTTAAACACTATTTTATGACTTTCCTCTAAGCATCAGAGCACAATTGCAATTTCAGAGTCCCCAACCCCACCTTGAATTGCAAATTCCTTCCTGAGCTTAAAATAAGTTACAGATTCTCATTGCCTCAATGGAACCAACCTAAAGGTAGGATTGTTGCAGAAAACTTTTTGGCTAGCATGCATATTCAGGTAATAAATACCAGTGATGGTGCTATGAGGGAAGATGAGGTAGGATCTTTGACAACGACATGATCTCAATAAACTCCAGGGCCATGTGGACCCCCCCTGGAATTTAGCAACATCGTTGTATCATCGGGGTAATCTTGGTCAGATTAGCCTTGTGTACACGAGGAACATGAGAGAATGATTGTAAAGTGTTGAGGTAATTATGTACTTCAATACTTGTCAATTTCCAGTGATGTTATATATCAAAAAGTTTCTTCTGTAACAATCATGTTGCCTTGACATCTTTATTAATGTTAATATTAATATTATTAATGATTATATGAAAAGTAAAACGATGCCAATCGTTTATTATCATGATAAGAATTTCCTATAATAATTACCTAATGAGGCAGACAAGTTCTGTTCCAGATTTTGATTTCAATAATATATATTTTATATAATAAAAGATATATTTATAAAAAATAAAAAAAAATAAATACATGTAAAAAATTATGCACCTATCGCCATCAATAAACAACATGTTGTCTTCTTTAACATTCACATTTCCTTCATCTTGTAAAAAATTAATTTTTTTCAAAAAAAAAAAAAAAAAAACAATTTACGCGTCAACGCGTTAATTAAAGAAATTTTTTTGTGCAACAATTGATTAATAATAATAATAAATAAAATAGATTTTTAAAATAATGGATAACGACAAAAATAAAAGAAAAGAAAGAGCAAACATCATCGCTACGTAAGTGTGATTTATTTAAAAAAATATGGTTTCTGATTATAATTTTCACTGTATGATTTAAATATTAATATCGCGACCACTGACAATTATCAATTTATTTGTAAAAAAAAAAAAACAGTTCTACTAGCACCAAATCTGTAAGTAAATGACATTCTTTTCAATACATTGGTTTTACTGTTTTTAAAAAGTAAATTTAACTTTTAACTTTTAATAGTATATAAACTCGCTCGCCAAAGAAACAATTGATAAATTAGGTTCAATACATGGTTAAATTCCATAACAATTGAAGATATAATTTACAATGAAGAAGCATCTCTACATCTTGTAGAGTCTTCGTTGGAAAATTTTTCAAACATTTTTAATAGATACAACAACAACAATAATAATGACAATGGCAACGATGAAACTGAACATATAAATGGTAATACTGCCATCAATGACAATAGTAATATTGATGATGACATTGATGACGTTGGCAATAATAATAATAATAATGATAATACCATCGATGATGGCGATGATGAAAACGATGAAATTGGTAATAATGATAATACCAGTCGGGTTTGAACAATTTCAAAATCATAATAATAAATTAAGACCTTTAGTTTTAAAAAACTTGCATTTCTTTCATTTATTAATAATAAAACAAGCAGATGGTAGGACCAGAAAGCCTCATCGTTATAGACCAGGAACTATAGCTTTACGTGAAATCCGTCAGTACCAAAAACATACTGGATTGTTGATAAGGAAATTGCCTTTCCAACGTTTAGTAAAAGAAATTGCTCAAAACATAAAACCTGGTTTTCGTTTCCAGTCAAGTTCCATTGGTGCTTTGCAATAAGTAAGTTTTTCTTCATTATATATTCACACACACACACACACACACACACACAGAAATACATGTCCAGCCACTTCATTGAAACAAAAGTTTGACTATATAATTACAATGAGTTTATTAATTATTTTAGGCTTCTGAAGCATATTTAGTTTCTTTATTTGATGATGCAAATTTAGCAGCTATTCATGGTAAGCAATTCAAACAGTATTTGTAGATACACATAATCATTATTGAATTGATTAATTAATTAATTGATTATTTTTGTAGCTAAACGAGTCACAATACAACTGAGGGATATGCAACTTGCATGTCGTATTCGTGGTAGATAATATTTAATTTTCATAGTAATAATTATTACAGTTTAGTACATTTATTTCACAACCAAAAAAATAGTTCGGTAATTAGTATCACTAAACAAAAATTGCTCTAAAAAAAAAACTACTTTAAACTTTTAAGATGCATTATATATTATAAATATATATCAAAGTAGTATTTCTTATTTTATTTTACAATTTTAACTTTCGGACTTGATCGATGAAAATAAAATAAATTGCTAAAATATTTCCAAGTACACATACAAACTCGATAAGTCGGCCCGCAGTAATCAATTGTTTAAAGTACTCGATAATATAAATTATGCGGCCGACTTATCGAGTTTGTATGTGTACAATGAATTTTTTGATTAGTGCTTTGATGAATCTATATATTAATAATTTTTGCCCATAATAGTGTGGGACAGGTGATAATGCTTTAAAAAACACAACACATATATATTTTTTTATCTTTGACCTAAAATATCATTATTTTTGGAATTAACATAACTTTTGAAACATTTAAACATTGAAAATAAACTTTCGATCTTTTATTTTTAACAAGGAATTTAATTTCACCAAGGTTTCGACCTTCCACAATAAAAAAATTGCTTAATTTAAATTACGACCCAAAACTATTCACTAGTACATAAGACCTAAAAAGTCTGATCCATGCATTATAAAACGTTACCGCTAAACACCTTTGCTCTCCCACATTGCTACCTGATAGCACCACAGTTGTAAAGAATTTTCTGGAAATTATGCTGAAGTCTATGGATTACCAAGTCCAGGAAGAAGAATAACTCAATCAATTGTATTCTTACCAGCTGAAATGAGTTATAATCACGAATGATAATGACTAATTTTTGATCCCTGAAATCCTTTGTAATACTAATACTAATGTTCACTTTGTCTGGTTTTGTTGCAGTATGCCCCATATAAACTTCTTGTGTCATCATATTAAGTGAGGCGGGCGTAATGTGACAAAGTAATCATTATTAATACTTTGTGGACGAAATTAAAAATCCCGATTTGCGAAAAGTTTCGGCAATTTTTTATACTGACAACGAAATAGCAGGGATCGAGTGTCGAAAATTAGCCAATCAGGATTGGTCCTTTTAAAGGTAGGTAATGAACAGTGACGATCAATTTTTCACTTAATACAAGGGTTATAAATTCAATAATTATCATTTGGTAATTCTATATTTGTTACAACGTTTTCCTTTTTCTTCCGTTAGCAAAAAGTTACCATTTATTATTAATTGAAAACATTTTCCTGCACTTTCATAAATATGTTTAATTTTAATAATGAATTAATTGTCTTTATAAGATATATACAAGTAAAAACACAGGAATATATCTCTTTCATTTGCGTTTAAAAAGAAAATTTGATATATTTTCCGCAAAGAATAGGTAGAACACGTAGAGCATGTATAATAGGCTATTTTATAGAGTCTAATAAGACTAACATACCACTTTTTTTCTGGGCTCATTAGTAAAGATTTATTTTTTTGACTTTACAAGGATTTTTTGTAATTGATAATTATAAAAGATCAACACTTTTGAGCAACACATTAACACATAGTTGACACGTTAATCATTTATTTTATTGTGTTATATAAATGTAATAATAATAATAGCAATTAATTGATTGATTGGTAGTGATAATAAGTGATTAAGAAGTCATTGAAAAAACACATCCTCCTTCCAATCATTCTTATCTTCCTCCAACTCTTCCAATTTCTTCTTCGTATCATCATACCTCATTCTCTTCTTGCCCGGATGTCGTTTTTTTAATTTATTTGATTAAATCATGATTAATTTGTTTCTATACATAATTTTGACGCATGCATGACTTGGAGTGTGGTAATGATTGCGGTCATTGCAACTCATTGTCAATCTCGCTACTATTATTGTATTAGAAAAACATCATTATCTACCTCAGAAAATAGAGTAACAACAAATTTATTTTGAGTCTGTTTCATTGAAATTTTGCTTTTAAAATAATGACCAAAAATTAAAAAACCAATATGTGATTTAATACTGAAGCCTAATTCGAGAGCCAAGAGAGTGGACAATTATAAAGAAAACTTTGAAGAATTTGAAGACGGCGAAGAAAATAAAAAAAGTAACTTTATTCATATATTTCAATTTTTGATATTTGACAAAATTAACATGATGCTTTTATATGCTTACATAGATTATCTCTCTATAAGCACGACAAAGAAAAGAAATAGATGATAATTTCAATTGAATGGTTAAAGATATAATGTGGAAATTATCTTTTGGTCGTTATTAAGCATACATGCAAGCCCAAATTGATTTGTTAAATCAATATATGTAATCAATCCCAAAGAAGTTTGAAAAAAAAATGATCATATAACTTCCAAAGTATGTATGGCCGAGTTTGAATTAACTTTTGAGCTACACTCGCCGATTAATCGCAAGCTTTTATATTCAATGCTCATCAATTAACGCCTCTTTCTTGTGCCTAAAAAGCTTCGGCGAATCTGTAAGCATGCCTTTATGGTACAATTAACAACAAATTTTACTTTTCTTTGGCTGATTAAATTCGGCCATACGTTCGCAAAATACTTTAACACAATACAACAAAGTGATAGCGACTTTGGTTAATAAATGTCGCCAATTTATATCTGGCCAAACAATCTTAACAACTTAAGTTTACACAAAAACAGAAACGTTTACATTTATAAAAACTAAAAATTAAACCTTTGCTTTCTACCAAGAAATAACCAAAACCGAGTTACAAAATCTCAGAGTTCAATATAGAGTTTCTATTCGAATAAGGTTTATTCGAATTATTTGTTTTATTCGTTATCAGTTATGAATTACATTGAAAGTTTATTCGAATAAGAATCTGTATTACGAATAGAAACTCTAATTTTATACCACTCTGATAACCAAATAAACAATTAAACCCCACTCTTTTAATTTCCGATTACAAAAATAGTTTTATTAAACAAAAGAATGAATATGTAAAAAATTTTTGTTACAGAAATGAATTAATCAACAATTAATCTTTGGATGATACTTCATTAACATTCACTAGTTAACCAACGTTAGTCCTTACTCATTAAAGCAAATTACGTTACTAATTGTTGTTAAAATTCACCAGTTAACCAACGTTAGTCCTAACTTCGCTTGCTCACTAAAGCAAATAAACGTGGCTTTTTACAAAAGTTCCACAATTGTTGCCTTTTACCAAGGCACTAAGTACTATACTTTTGCTTTATCAAAGTGCTTTGAACAAAGAAAAAAATATTGACGCTGTTTATTTTTATTTTTCACGGTTAAAGTTTAAAACAATTATGAATAATAATGAATAAAAAATTTTGTTAGTGATTCATCTGCAGCTATTAGTTATCTCGCTACTTCTTTTTTTGCACTTTTTCGATGGGTTTTATTAATGAAGCGTCAATAAAATTTTTTTCAATGAGGATTCGAAAAGCTTCCAAATCTCGAAGTCTTTTTGAATGATCATTTGTGTCATCTATCGTAATCAATGTATGATCTTTATTCTTTTTGAGTTTTTCTTTGGTTTTCTTTTTGAGCCTTTTGGATATTCCACTTCCCTTGTGCGCAAAACCCCATGGACTAATTGAACCAGCACCTAAGGATTTTTTGAAAATTATAAAACACAATAATTCAACTCAAAAAAAAAAAAAAGAAAAAAAGGCCAAACTTACCAAACAAAAATATATAAAAAGCCCCAATGATACCGTAATATCCACCAATAGTTCCAAATATGGATACTACCTGTTTATTCGAATGATTGATTACTATTACTATTACTATTACTATTTGTGTATGGGCAAATTTTTCAAAAAACGAATCATTAAATATTACTTACAGTGTGTTAAGAAAAAAACGGCGGTAAATAAATTAATATTTTTTTGCAAATAAATAAGAAAACAGATTGTTGATCATTAATTACATCCGATCTACAATCAATTACAATATCAATAAACATATTTCAGAAGAAGATTTTTTTTTTACCTCCGTTTTCTCTTCCTACCACCTTTACAAACATGGTTAATACAGTACTTGAGGCTCAACGACAGGCAATTCTCCATTACTGGCTCAATGGTACTCGTTCAGCAAAGGAAATACAACAAGTAACAAGTATTCCCCTTCGCACTGTTGAACGTAATCTCAAAAAGCTCAGAGAAACGGGTACTGTTGAGCATAAGCGAGGAAATGGACGCAAACCAAAGGTTACACAAAGTGTGTCGCGTGCTATCGGACAACATGTGCACCGTAATACTGCTATTTCTGCCCGCCAACTTGCTGTTAAAATAGAAAATAGTCAAAATATCTCTATTTCACACGTTGCAATTTGGGAACATATGAAAAAAAAAGGATATAAAAGCTCTGTACCTCTAGGAACGCCGATGCTCACAGAACGGCACATTGAGATGAGAAAAACTTGGGCGCAAGTGCATATGAATGATAACTGGGATCGAACAATATTCACTGATGAGACGGCATTTGATCTTTTTCGGAATAAGGTTCGTCGATGGCATAAAAATGGCGAAAGACCCATACGAAGATTACCAAAAACTCGTCAAAAGGTAATGGCATGGGGTGGCATTTCTCAAAGCGGAAAAACACCCTTGTTTTGCTTTACAAATATTATGGATGGGCCATTTTATGTAAACATATTACAGACTCAGCTTCTGCCTACTGCACAAAACATGTATGGAATGAATTGGCGTCTGCAACAAGACAATGACCCTAAGCACACGTCACGTGTCGCTAAAGAATTCATTACCGAAAACTCTATCCATGCAATTGATTGGCCATCTAATAGTCCGGACCTCAACCCTATTGAAAACATGTGGCAGATCATGAAGAATAATGTCGAAAAACGAATGCCAAAAAATATTGATCAATTAATTCAATTTATGACTGAAGAATGGGAGGCGATCCCTCAGGATATTGTGAATAATTTGGTATTATCCATGAAACATAGATGTGAATCGATTTTGGAGAAAAAT